TTTCATGTCTTCTTGGTTCATTGATCAATGATTTCTTGGTGTTTGTTTTGGAGACCAGCAACTACCTGTATAATTTTTAATCAAAAATTGTTGTGTTTTATAAGGTAGGATTGAAATTCTAGAGGATTTGAGATGATAGCACTTCAGGTGATGACAGAATCGCCGCAGGGCCTCAAGTGGAAAATGTTATTGATTGTATTATTTTACATATATAGCTGTACCTGAAATATCGGAGGGCAAGAAGAGGAATGGTTGAAGGGAGGACTCGAGGGTTGATTTACGAACCCATACATTGCCTTGAACCAAATTCAAAAATTTCATTTTGATTTTGAAGAATTTTTTTTCTGCAGCGGAATATATTGTGATGCAGTTCGGTCGGATTAGCGATGAAACATTCACTATGGATTTCCGTTATCCACTGTCCGCTTTGCAAGCATTCGGCATTGCAATGACAAGCTTCCACGGGAAAATTGCTTGTGAATAATGAATTTATCCATTATCAGTTGGTGATTTCTGATTGGGAACCAGTGATTTGCGATAACCGATTGACTGTTTTCTTTGTCATAATATTTTGAAATCGTTCGATAAAGTGTATAAAAGATTTCAGATTTTCATTAGCAGTGCGCGAAATCATATTCGTTGTGTATTATAGACATTGCATGCCACAAAATCGCCAGCGTTTTAAAAAGAAATTCGTTAAAAAATCATGTCCTTCGTTACATCATCGACTGCTGAAACCAACGAAGTACGGATGCAAAATGTGGTCACTCACGCAAACAAAACAAGGCGTTTTTCGGTTCTGAAAATGAGCGAAAAATCCCACCACCATGTAGAAAATTGAAAAGATTTATCCACAGAAAAGATTTGCTCCTAGAATATCCCTGCAATCAGTATGGAGATCCCATGTTAACAATATTACTGGAATGCTCCTGCGTGTCACTCATCTGAGGAAGAGTCTAACTGAAAAATCTCATGAATTTCGTGTTTATTAGGGATTGTCTGCTGAAGTCCGATGGATTTTCCATTCAAAGGCCGGTAGCGGCAACAAAAATGGTGACTACGCGGCCAACGTTCGAAGAAGTCATGACGAAGGCGGCGGATTACAGCGCGGCGCAGGTTTCCAGGGCGCTAAGCACAATTGCTGTTTTCGTACGGCTATATTTCGGTAACATGGATCACATCAAATCAATAATCCATAATTGGCCAACGCGGGCTGCCCGTGCGAAGATGCGTTTTTTGCAGAGTTCCCCGCAGTTTATGTCACTACCGGCATCGGTTTTTTCGGGAGATGCTTCTAGTTGAAAGAATTTCAGACTGGCTGCCAGAACTGTCAGGAAATATCCCCTCAAAAATCTAGTCTTCTAGCTTCTCACGTTCTCGACTAAGTATCTTACCCGGAAGGAGCCTTCACGGGCCTGTACGAAGGTACCACGCCCACCCGCGGGAAGGGTTTGAACTCGTTAACAACCACTTGGACAGGGAACACCCCCTTAGACTTCAGCTCTCTAGCCTCACAGATCCCCGAGTTATGGACTTACCCGAAAAAAATTTGGCAGGCTCGTACGCGGGTACCACGCTTACCCGGGGCTGGATTTGAGCTGATTAGCACCTGCGTGGACGGAGAACATTACCCTAAAATTTCAGCTTTCTAGCATCTCAGAACCCTGAGCTATGAATTTGAGCGGGAAAAATTTTGGGGGTCCGTACGCGGGTACCACGCTTACCCAGGGGCTGGATTTAAGCTCATTAGCACATGCTTGGACGGGATACATTCCCCTAAAATTTCAGCTTTCTAGCATCTCAGAACCCCGAGCTATGAATTTGCGCGGGAAAA